GGGGGGGAACTGCGCAAAAAACGCATCCTCGTACCGGCAGCCGGTACGCTTCTACTAGGTCTTTCTTTGGTACCCGTCCTTCAATGCTCATTCAGTGAACTCATTTTGTATCCATACGCCATTGCTTGCCCAACAGCAGTAAAATAATAGTGCAGGTAGAGACTTATTGGTCTGCCTTTTTAGACTTTATTTCAGCTTGTCCCCCCCCCCTCTCCCCCGCCCTCCTCCTCTCTACCCCCTCATTTCTGACTATTGACCATTCTGGTAACAGCAAAGTGTAGCTTCACTTTAATGCTAACCTAAAACTAATCATCTGCAGAAAAAGTTTTAGAAATTTTGAATGATTCGACAGAAAATCAGTCGTGGAACATTTCCTTGGCAAATATTTGTTAGCATTATTTTTTGAGCACTGGAACGAACTAAAATGGAAGTCTGCTGAATTCAGCTTGTAGTTTTGATTAAAAACTTTACCATATCGATATTTGAATAATATTCCGGAAGCGGTGTACCAGCACTTTCAGCAGTACCAGCTGGTGAGGCGATCGGTGTGCCTTCCAGTGAAAATCCTTCAACTTGCGGTGTTGATGACTTGCTTCGACTTTTCTTCTGCAGTACCTGCCTCTTAAAATGAAACATAAATGATAAAGTCACGAAAAAAACACTAACTTTCTGAGAAAATGGTAATTTTTGGAAAATGGTAATTTTGGCGTTGTGAAGAGGGACAAATTCGGAAATTAACCTCAAAATTTGTTCCGATAAATTCAAGTTCCCCATATTTAAGCCTAACAAAACTAAAAATAAAGAATGGGCAGAATGCATTCAACTAATGAAATGACCTAATAAATTTTTAAAAATCGGAAAACAGGAAAGCAAATTAATCAGATGCTATTGCATAGGTTCAGATATGTGACAGTAGGACTCAACTCTGCAGTATCCGGGGAAAAAAATTTTTGGAGGAAAGGACTTTCGTGGATTCGGTATTTAAAGGAACCCTCACGAAAAAAGTGGCAAGGCCAGGACTTTCCAGCAAATGACGATAGTGAATACAGAAAAGTTTGCTGAGTGGTACTTCGACAGACATTTTTGAAAGCGCAAAAGCAGTCATTTTTTTTTAAAATTTTACGTCCTTCTACAGTAATGGTAAATTATAATAATTGGCCAACGCACGGGCTGTCCGTGCGATGCTGCGTTTTTTGCATAGTTCCCCGCAGTTTCTGTCGCTACCGTCATGGTTTTATTGGCAGATCCTTCTAGCTAAACAAATTTAGACTGGCCGCCAAAACTGGCAGGGAACACCCCCTTAAAGTTTCAGCTGTCTAGCTTTCCTGGCTCCTGAGCTAGCAATTTACTGGAAAAAATTTGTCACAAGCCCGCACTCGAGTACCACGCATACTCGATGTCTGGGTTTGAGCTCGTTGAGACTTAATTGAACGAGGAACATCTTCCTTAAACTACAGTCTTTTAACTTTATAGGTTCTCGAGTTATGAGCCTACCCGAGAAAAACTTTGGTGAATCCGTGCGTGGGTACCACACATGACCGAGTGCTGGGTTTGATCTCGTTGAGAATAATGTGGACGAGAAACACCCTCTTAATATTACAGTCTTCTAGCGTCTCAAATCCCCGAGTTATGAACTTGCCCGGGAATGACTTTGGCGGGTCCGTACGCGGGTATCACGCTTACCCGGGGGTTGGGTTTGGGCTCATTAGCACCTACTTGGACGGGTAATATTCTCTTAAAATTTCAGCTTTCTAGCTTCCCAGAACCCCGAGTTATGAATTTACGCGTGAAAAAATTTGGCGGGCCCGTACTCGGGTACCACGCTTACCCGGGGGTTGGGTCTGAGCTCGTTAGTATCTGCTAGGACGGGGAACATTCCCTTAAAATTTCAGCTTTCTAGCATCTCGGAATCCCGAGTCATGAATTTACGCGGGAAAAATTTTGGCGGGCTCGTACTCGGGTACCACGCTTACCCAGGGGCTGGGTTTGAGCTCATTAGTACCTACCTGGACGGGGAACATTCCCTCAAAATTTCAGCTTTATAGCGTCTCAGATCCCCGATGAATTTGTGCGGGAAAAACTTTGGCGGGCCTGTACTCGGGTACCACGCCTACCCGGAGGTTGGGTTTGGGTTTGTTAGTACCTACTGGGACGGGGAACATTCCTTTATAATTTCAGCTTTCTAGCTTCTCAGAATCTCGAGTTATGAATTTATGCGGGAAAAATTTTGGCAGGCTCGTACTCGGGTACCACGCCTACCCGGAGGTTGGGTTTGGGTTCATTAGTACCTACTTGGACGAGGAACATTCCATTATTTTCGCATTGCATTGCTGCAAAAAACGCATAAAAATATAAATTTTTACCCTTACAGTTAATGCCAAATTTTATCACTGCGATAAGCGATAAGCTTCGAAAAACGCAAAATTTTACTACCATAACTGGCCGTCGGTGGCACATTTGGAGGCAGCTGGCATATATTTTTAGCAATAAAATTTTTAAGTATGAATACGAGTACTTAAGAACTAATATTCAAGTACAGACACTAAAAAAACTGCTAATTAATTTAAAAAAAAATGATGGATTTAGTGTGAAAAGAAAGACAGCTGACTTAGTCACTCTTTTTTCTCCTCCTTCCGTCTTTCCCCATTCTCTTCCGACATCTGTTTTAACCACTTGTTTCAGGATCGATTCAGTTTTCTTATCCTCGCCTTGCCCGGTAAATACTCAAAAGAATAGAGGCTATGTGGCCGGACAAAAAAGAGTGGAGCAAAGAGGTGCTAGTAGCTGCTTCTTTTGTCTCACTTGAAGTTCCTCTAACGAATCGATACCCTTTGAACATCATGGGAGATATTGCTAAGATCGTTAAAACTACGGTGTTAGATTTATCGTCACTATCACGATTCTGTAAACAAATAAAAGTTTTCATTTCACAGAATTTTTCGCTATTTTATTGTCGTCGTTTTATTCATTAGTGAGATTTTGTTGTCGCACTCGGTGAGACAATAACCTCTTGGACTGAAAAGTCTTAACTCATTCCCATTTTATAGCTTTTAACTTATTTTTCCCCAGCTTTTTGAAGTGTACCTCGGTAGTTTGCAATGGCGACTCGAGTTCATCTCCTGAGGGCAGCGAACAAGCCATAGATGTTTCTTCAGAAATGTCTGACAATACACGGTTCGCTATTTCTTCCTCAATTTCGCGACGTTCACCGCGGACAAGTTGCTGTGGCAACAGCTAAAATTTAGAATAAGGAATTGAAAATGCCCAAGAAAATTCATTCAAAATATCAAAAAAAAGCCAGAAGCAGTCCAGGATTTCAATGTCTAATAACTGAGTTAAGGGACCCAAGCATTCGGGATCCAGGGGGATAAAGACCTATGGGATTATTTGCTGGATTTGAAAATGATTTGGAATTGAGCATTTCGTCACCGAAAACAAATCAATCTAGTGGAGAAAAAATATATTTTGTCATCAACTGAGATGAGCTGCGAGTGTGGAATTGAAACTGGCAATACCGCCAAATTATTTAAAATTCCCAAAATTTGACTTTTCAAATTTCGGGATTTTTTCTTTCAGAATCACTTAGAAAATCAGTGAGGAGGCCCAAAAAAAAACAGTCACAAAGAGCTCCAACTGCACGCGGGGTCCGGCAAACGAGGATCTTTGTATTACTAAAAAATACATCAAAATAGAAAAAGACAAAAAGACCATGGAAATAAAAATACGAAAAAATTTTGAAAAATTCGAAAACAGTGAAGTCAAGGAAAATTAAAAAATGATAAAAATAAAAATATTAATGGATCTAAAAAGCTGGGAAGTAAAAGAGTCTGAAAGAAAAAAATATTTGAATCGCTTTGAAAAAACGATGTAAAATGCACATTGTAATAATTTTGATATTTTTAAAAATATAGAATAACACGAAAATGCAAAAAGTGTAAATTTTTACCGGTTCATCAACAAACTCCATTGGAATTTGTTGTTGCGGATGCTGAAACAGACGCTGTGAGGGTGTTTCACCTTTCTCTTGCGGTAACAGGCGTCGCTTCGGTGGCCCATCCCGAATATCATCATGAGGCGATGAAACACGATCCCGAATACGTAAATAATCGTAAATGTCGTACGGCTCACTACGCGCTAAACCGTGGGCCCGCTGTGGGAGCGTCGATCCAATTAAATTTACATCCGGAGCCTAAAAAAGTTGGTGTGTCAAAAAGGTGGAAAAGTCCAATTTCTCTTCAGTCCGGGTGTCTAGTCTAGATTATGGAATTAGACAACGTGTTTAAAAAAAAGCAAATAAATTTTTTGCCGAGCCACGTTAGGCAAATTGTAAAAAAAAATATCACAAAGAATCATAAATAAATATTGAACGATAAAAAAAATGAAAAAAAGCAAGTTTAATGGCCTGACAAAACCACGACTGGCTTGTGACAGTACAAACCAACATCGTACTAAAGTGGAATAACCACAGTGACTGTACTAGCAAATTTGGAAATCTGGTTAATACAGCAAGCTGTTCAAGCCATAATTTTCGAAAAAAAGCAGTCCAAATAAATACTGATATGATATCTTAACAATTTTAATGGTGCGTTTAAAAACAAAATTGCAGTGATAGACGAAGATTACCACAGTGTTTTATAGCCAAAAGGTAAAAATCTCTGTCCTGTAATTGAAAGTAATAAAAAGTAATAATATATACGTCAGAAGCAACACAATTTTTGTAATATAAGTTTATGCTTGCGCATTTTTTGAAACATAATACCAGTTTTCAGCAACAGCGGAACCGGATGCAATACGAGCTAATGAGGAAAACAGTCACATGGATGAAATTTCAAAGGACTTAAAGCACAACTCTCCGCAAAACTCAGAGCGTAGACAAATACGCTGCTCAGTATTCGAATTTCAGAAAGTAACTGGCGTAAACAAAACGCCGGAAATTTAAAAACCTTCAAGCTTTTTTAATTTTTTAGCTCGAAAAAATATCAATTCTTTAGAGAATTTTTTCCAAACCTCCGATACTGGATAAGAATGTGAATCAAAACCATGAGCCAAAGTCTTTAGTTCTGTCAAATTTGATTAAAAATGCATTTTTTGACTTTTTTTGCTTTCAGCACCGATTGGTACTTAAATCTTGAACTGTGTCTTGCTGGCTGAATTTTCTGAAGACTTAACTTTAATCACACTGAAACTTTTTCTTTTATAATCTAATTTGGTCGAATTTTGCACCTATACTGGATTAGTGCTTGAACTTCGTTTTCCCTCATTTCACTTGCCAAGTGTGCGATTCCGCCTTTATTCAGAATAAAAACAGCTAGCTCCCCATTTGTTTCCATTCCTTCTATTTCAGCAAGCTAACGCAGTCAACTATAACTGAGAGCACTATCACAATGGTAAAAATAGAAAAACCCAGAAACAAGACTGAAAAAGCTTGCCTGCACAGCACTCAAAAGTTGTTCGGATGGAGTCTGTTGAACAAACACACGTCTTTCCTTAAAACAGATTTTTATTTTTCAAAAAAATTTCGCAAATTCTAAAATCAAAAAGAACATTAGTAGGATGGCAGTTTAATAATTTTGAATTGCAACGCTTACCAATGTGAGATCTTTTTTCTATGAAGGTTTCATGGCATGTTGTTGGTTTCTTTAATTTATATTTTTTATTTTTTTCAGTGAGTACCAAGTTAAAAAACAGAAGAATCATGAAAAATCACAAAAACACGACGCACAAGTCGCCTTTTTTTATTGGAAAAGTCAGTTTTTCCCACTTGTTCAGAATAAAAATTATAAGACAAAAATAGAAATCCCAAACCTACCAGCCATTTGTGCCTATATTTAAATTCTCGCAAACAAGCTGATGTTAGTGGAGCATTTTCAAGGGATTTCTTCGATAACCATGGATGTTGTAGCGCTTCGTCAACAGTTAGACGACCACTGTAAAGAAAAATTTACGAACTTACCGAGCCGCAGTACATGCCCAGTCTTTCAAACCTGGATGGAATTTATATTCAAACTAAGAAAAAAATTTTTTTTGCATATCAAAATTACCGTCTAGATTTTATTTTTGATATGAAAAATTATAGAAAAACTAATCAAAATTTATTTGCTTGGGATATTCATTATGACACATTTGCAAAATAAATCAGAAAAATATATTAAAGGAATTAAATAAGCAGGAATGCTTTGGCCCATTAGCCCGTACATATTTTTTTCAGCACTAAAATAGGATCTCATCAGTACGACGGTTGTGGTTTCGATAAATATATATATGTTAAAATAAGCTTTTTTTTAAGAAGTACATTATAATTTGTAAGGGATTAAAAGGTAAGAAGGGAATTTAAAATTTAAAAAATAATAAAAAGAAAGAGAGAAAAGAGCATGGACTGAGCAGATGGTAGTGGAGAAAATTGCGAACTATCAGTCAATGATGTTAGTGCAACTTTTGCAAAAAATTTTCAAATTTAAATATGTGTAAATAAGCATAGCAGTTATTTTAATACGTGTAAATAGAATAGACAAATAAAGATTTTTATACACATTTGAAAGGCTCGTGTGCTGTACGTATAAACATGTTATATTATTTCTTTTACTCGGAATTTGCCTTTAAAATACAACAAGAACATTAGCAAATGGCTAAAGCCTTAGCAAGTGTTTTGGCTAAGAGGCTTTCTGAAATGGAAATCCTTTCAGTGCGAACATCAAGGCTGACAGCAGACTGACCAACTTGACAGGTAGTATTGCTTAAAAGAACTAAATCTCTAGCTACACAGACGGAGAATCGGAGTATGAATTACAACTGATCCAAATATACTAAGAAAATAATACAATGAGGAAAGTGCGAAGTAAATCTAGGGTAATTAATATCATCAATGCAGCAAATGTATGTGATTACAGGTGGTAACTTTTTTTGACTTTTAATAAATCCTGATAAGATTTACTTCACAAAAATAAATTTTATTATGAATTTTTTAATATTTTAGTTTTGCTTTTTCTAAATATATATTTGCATCAAATCATTTTTATAGAACAAAAAATTTTTTTCGAACTTTTGCTAAGCTTATTTACCTTGGCTCAAGAACTAGCAATTTGGAGACGAAATCCTTGGCTTCGTTTGAAACACCGGCAAATTCATCGCAGTCAAGAGTATAATTTCCTAGGATTACATTTCGTACTGTTTCTGTATCATTATCACCAAGGAATGGTGATATACCGGAAAGCCTGAAGATGTGTTAAAGAAAATGACATGTTTGTCTGAAATCTTAGACGGATTTTCCCTGTCCAAACAGGTATATTGATGAGCTCAAACCCAGCGCTCGGGTAGGCGTCGTACCCTCGTACGAGCTCGCCAAAATTTTTTTCGGGTAAGTTCATATCTCGGGGATCTTAGAAGCCAGAAAGCTGAAATCTTAAGGGGATGACATAGGGACAGTCAAAATCCTTTCCGCATTCACTCTCGATGAGTGGCACAGACATTCAGAAGTATTTCGAGTGGTAACAAATGACAACAGCAACCACACGCTGGCAAGGCTGCCAGATCACTGTTTCGACTGTTGTTTAGAAGCAAGCTGATGACGGATCTGACCACTTGGCAGAGTATCAATTTACAATCGAAACGAATGAACGAGTCGTAGAGACCGCCTTTCTGACAAAGTCGAACTTACAACCTCCTACATATCAGAAGCGCTATTTCCTACAATGCCATACCCTATAGAATGTGAAGCGATTTCCAAAAAATTGGATAGTAAATAATACGCTGAGTTATTCACTGATTGTTACAGGCGTGGTACTTCAGGCTGTCTGAATTTGTTAGAGGAAATGAACTGAGGTGCAGCTTTGATCTTGATTTTTAGAAAAAAAAACTTCGACACTAACTTTTTCGAAATATTCAACATTAAATTAGCTGATTCTGGTAATTTATCAGGGTAAACTTACAGCACATAAGTAAGTGTGCCAACGCTCCATAAATCGGAAGCTAGTGATATCGGAACACCTGCTGCAATCTCTGGTGAAACAAATTCTGGACTGCTAGTGATATTTGCCGTCACTTTGCCACGTATCAATCTTCTAGAAGCAAATTCACACAAAATTTTTTATCAGTATCATGGTTAAAAGATTTTTTTGCATTTTGAAATTGGACTAAACAAGCTAGAAGGCCGAAATTTTTCAAATTTGATTTTTAAAAAC